CGAGATAGTCTTGAATCTTCTGGGTACTTTTTTTTCCCCAGAAAGAACTGGTTCCAGGAAACTATTTTTTTAAAACTACTGCTTGAAAGCACCCTGTTGCATCTGAAGCAATGGCTGACTCCATTCTTGAAATACTTTTTTTGAAAGCTATTGCAGTGGTGAGCCTCTCTTGAACTCAAAAAAGAAAACTAAACTGAGACACCACATGGAAGCTTCCTCTGCTTACAGTCACAGAAAGCATTCTGGGTTTACTTCAAGGGATGGAGGATAGGACCTTAAATTCTGCATTCAGTGCAACCATAGAGTTTTGGCCATCACTACAGCCACCTTCTTTCCTTCAAAATATGCTTTTCATTGTTCTCCTGCCCTTTTTCCAACTGCTCCGCAGCCAAGTTCTTGGAAAGCAATCACACTTCATGTTTAGGATTTATTGCTAGTCTTCTGCCAGTACGGACACACACAAATCTCTCCTGTGATCATCCTGGAAAAGCAAGCTAAAAATACAGCAATTTATGAACATTTTGCATGTTATACGGCATCAGTGTGCACGCATCAAAACATTCTGAGCGTATAAAAGGTCGGCCCTTTTGTCTAGGCCAATAGAAGGCTCTGCTTGGGTGCCATAAATAAGCTTATTTTAGAATTCCAGCCTACCTAAAAAGGGAAAAAAGCATTTGCATTGTGTTTCGGTGGTTGAAGATGTTTTTTTACCACTGTTATGTGGTAAACTTTGTGCTTTAGAAACTCTAGGTTTGACAAAAAAAACCACAGTTCATCTTCCAAAGTGGCTGCTTTAAAACTAATGACTAAATTAGACATCACAGTTATCATTAAAACTTGAAAGTGGTGAGAATTGTCTGTTTGTACAAATTTTTTAAGGATTTTGCAATTTTAGTCTCAAGTTGTATTTCTGTTTGGAAATGTGTTTTGGGTTGTCTGAGGAAGCTCATACCCACAGAAGCATCAGGAAAGGCTGATTTTATGGCCAGGAAGAGCAGTTCATGAGGTAGAATATTCAGGTGATCACCATGCCTTGGTCATGCTTCTCAGACCATATTGTTTATTTTTATTACAAACACTGTAGATTATTTTTATTACAAACACTGTAGTTTATTTTTATTACAAACACTGTCCTCTTTGAAAGGCTTGTCTTTTATCAGCTTATTGCTTTTGACAGGCAAGGGTAGATTCAAGACTCTGTGGATACAATTGAAATTCCAGATTAGGATTGTTAAAATTCTTTTGAGACCTTGGGAAACTCTTTTTGGTCTCTCCTGGCTGCTTGTTTCTGATGATGCCCTCTGTGAAACCTCCCCAGATTTGGAAGGTGAGCTGGGACTCACTGGACTGGTTGCTGGCAGCGTGGTGGATCTCCAGCGCTCGTGGCTGGGTGGTTCTGAGCCTCAGCCACCACTGCTGGGACCCAGGAACACCAAGGCTGGTGGAAAGAAAAGGCAGAGAAATACTTTAGACTGCCAGAAGGCAGGGTTAGATGGGATGTTGGGAATGAATTGCCCCCTGGGAGGGTGGGCAGCGCTGGCAGAGGATGCCCAGAGCAGCTGTGGCTGCCCCTGGATCCCTGGAAGTGTCCAAGACCAGGCTGGGACAGGGCTTGGAGCAGCCTGGGATGGTGGAAGGTGTCCCTGCCATGGCAGGGGGTGGCACTGGATGATCCTTGAGGTCCCTTCCAACCCAACCATTCTATGATGTCACGAAGATCCAGATAAATGTTTTATCACCTCATAATCTGGGGTCCTTACTCAACCCAAAATGAGTGCATTTGTTATTGTTTTTATTTTCTTTTTATGAGTCTCATCTTTCTTCCCTTTTTATCTGATTCTTCTCCCCAGGCAATACTAGATAGTTCCCAAATACCTATTTGGTTCCTATAATTAAACCAGATGTATTTTCTGTTCAGTCTGAAAAGGGATTAGCGATTTGTGAAATGGGACTTTGCATTCAAGAAATGAGAAATTACAGTTGAGGAAAAAGCATAAATTTACTCCTAATAAATAATGAATGGACTTTCAAATGCAGTAAATCTCCATTCTTACATGTTCAAACTGACAGACTTCTGAGTATAACAAGTACCTTATGTGTAATTTTGTGTCAAAATCTTCATATTCTGCAAAAAATATTAAAATGTCCTGAAATTTATTCTCTGCTCAAATGCATTTTTGTATGTGAACCACATTTACTCTTTTTGTTGCTCTAATAAGATTACTCATGTATCACATGGCATCAGTTAATTCTGGGTGTGCTTCTCATTGTGATCATCAGGATTGAAGTGCAAGTATTTGTGTAGCAGTTATAAAGCTTGGCCCCTGGTATTTTAACTAAAAAGCTAACTTTACATAAGGGGTGAAGGAACTTAGACAAGGGACTAAGGGGAAAAAAAAAAAAAAAAAGCTACCAAGGCCAGAGCAAAAGAGTTGCAAAATTTAAACCAATATTTGCTATAAAACATTTGTGGTGGCCACTCAGCCCTACTTCTGACTCCCTCAAACGTCCTCACTGCTGGATTTCACACTGCAGCTCTACCTAAACCTCTCCTTGACATTCCCTTTGCTATTGAGAGTAGGTTTGTGTTCCCCTTGCAATTCTGACAAAACTTCTGCCTTTACTAATATTTGCAGAGTGGTTCCATCATTTTTCTTCTCCTAATATTAAGGGTCACATTGCAGGTACCAACCAGCATGTTATTGACCTAATACAGCTTTTAATTTTGACTTCACAAGTGGAAACACACAGGCACTTACTTGGCTTAGCCTACACATTCATCCAGCTAAATCTATTGATGGAGTCTGCAGAACCTGGAACAAACTTGTTTTTGTTTTTAGATACCATAATCTTCAATATATTAACTCTTGGTCTTACATATGTTGTCTGCCTTCTTCATCTGCAATGAAAGCCACCCACATTACTCGCTGCAAATTTTAAAACAACTTTACTCACAGCAGCTTGCAACAATAACTAAAATGTGACAACCTATCTCATACAGCACTAGTACTCATGGCTCTGTTGCCAGGTGCATCATTTTTCCTTGTTCTTCCTTTAAAAAATTTCATATCCCTCAAAAAAAAAAAAAAAAAAAACCACTTTAAAATAAATTAGCACCAGGCCTCTGAAATATGTTGATATCTTGTTGGAGGTTCATACATGGTTTAAAGAACACTTGGAATGTAGTTTGGAGGAAATCTTGATAAATTTCTGCCATTTGGATTATAGCTAACAGCTTCTTTAATGCAACTCTAACACAATAAAGCAACATGACTGTAACCATCTTCCTGAGAATGGTAGAAAAGGACCATAAAACTGAGCGGCACATTTAAAATTGCTTGCAAAATATCAGCTCTCTGTAAACAACACACAATAACTGTAATTAATGCCAGTCCTTTAAAGTATTCCTAAAGTCTACTGAAATCTAAACCGGCATTGTGTGACTGGTGGCAACAACTGCATCCTAAACAACATTAAAAATGACAACAGAATATAAAATCTCCATCAGAAGTGAAAAAGTTATAATTCACTGATCTGCTGAACTCCTTTGCCCTTATTATTTGTAGAGCTTTTTTGGGAGGATCTCAGGACTTTACTCTTTAGCTAAGCCTCAAAAGTTCAACAGCCTGTGAGTTATATAAACACTATTTTACAATTTGAGTTATTTTCCCAGCAAAAGGATCGCTTCAGGGGCAGACTATTTGAATGATCTCTGTTCCAAAATGAACGCTGCTTTCCTCGGAGTCGCACAGCTTCAGAGCGGCCGAAGCTGAAGCCCACCCAAGCGGTGCCCAGCCGCGCTCGCAGCAGCTCCGGCGCTCCGGCGGACAGGCTGCAGGTTGTACCGCACCTAAGAACGCCAAACCAGCAAGTGCTTTCAGGGCAGAAACTCTGACCAAGGGCTTGGAAAAACGCCTTATTTTAAGCAGCAAGCAAGTAAATAAACACAAACATAAAAATGGGTTGGAGCAGACAGAAGGCGATCGCGCCTCGGCAGGGATGCCGCAGCCGTAAGACGTGTTGCTTGTGCGAGGCGCTCCCGCTCCAGCCGGAGGGATGCTCCCGGGCGGACGGGGCTCCGCGGGGAGCCCCGAGCCCCGGCCCCGCCGTGCCCAGCGCCCGGCTCCGCGCCCCGCAGCCGCGGGAGGATTTCCGCCCGCGCGGGGAGAGGAAACCGCGTCGGCTCCCGACGAAAGCCGGGGGCAGCCCGATCCGCCGGTGGTTGTCGGGGCTCGGTTCTGCGAGCCCTCGGGGTCGGGACGGGGATGCCGCAGCCGGCAGCCGAGCGTCTCTGCAGGGCGCCCCGCGCCGAGCAGCGGCGGCTCCGCGCCGGCGGCTCCGGCAGCGCCCGGAGCATCCCCGCTGGCCGAGCGCGGCGGCGGCCGCGGGGGACAGCCCCCGCTCGGAGACCCCCGCGCCGCCGGGGGCGGGGGCTGAGCCCCCAGCCCCTCCGTCCGGCTCCGGCTGGGGACAAACACGCTCTCAACAATGGGCATGTTTGCAGCAACATGATCTCACCTAATAACGCCGAATAAGGCAATGACTGTACGGGGAAGCGATACGATCCTGCCGGTCTCACCACACGGCGCGGAAAGCTATTTGCAGATTTGCTAAGCCCTTTTGAATGAATGCATCTGCAGCTGACCTTTAACAATAGACGCTGAAATAGCACAATCTGTGGGACCAGATTTGAGGGGGGGAGGCGGGAAGGGGGAAGGAAGAGATGGGTGAATATTGTAATCTCTGCAATCTCATTCACTTCCTTTCCCAAACCCCCGCGCACAGGGAAAAGCAGCGGTATTTTCCTTTTCACCGGGGCTCTGTCTCAAACAAGCCGTTCCCAACGCCGGCACAGCCACATGGCACCCCGACAGCCACCGCCGGCGGGACCGGCGCGCATCCCCACCGGTGCCCGCCCGCATCCCGCGGGCATCGCTCCGCGGAGGGGCGACTGCGACAAGGATGCTCCAGCCCCCTCTCCCCTCCCGCCGCTCTCTCACCTTCCCTGGCTTTCAGCAAAACGGTGTTGGCAACGATGTTTTCCAGCTCCATTGACGAGCTCGGGCAGCGCAGGCAGCGGCACTGCAGCAGGACGTCACTCCGAGGTGCGGAGTCTCCGGGCGACCACCCGCCTCCTGCCCCTAGCGCGCTGTCCCCCCGCGCATCATCCCCGCCTGCCCGCCCGCTCCCCCGCGCTCCCCGGGCGGAGGCGGCGCTCCCCGCACTGCCGGCTCCGCCGCGCCCCGCTACTCCATCCTCCGCCCCGCCGGCTCCCCCGGTGGTTCGAGGGCTCGGGCGCTCCTGCCTCCCTCCCCCGGGGGTGTGGCACCGCGGAGCGGCCCCGCAGCCCCGCGCAGGCGCCGGCCCCGCCGGGCCGGGCACGCCGGGACGTGTAGTCCTGCGGCGGCCCCGCCGCACCTGGCGCCGGCTCCGCAGCCGCGCAGGGTCCCCAGGGAGGGACGGTCACTGTCCGCCTCGGGGAGGGGGACAGCGCGGGCAGGGGCACGGACAGGGGCTGGCCAGAGCGTCCCGGGCGGTGGGGATGGGTGTTCGCCGCCGGGGATGCTCGGGGCTCCCGCGGTCCTGGCCCCGGAGCAGCCCCGGTGCCGCGCTCCATCCCGCGGCGGCGGCCCGGGGCTCCGCTTGTCCTGCCCGCGGTTGCCAGGGCTCCCCGGCCCGGCTCTTCGCCCCCCTCTCCCCGCAGGTGCCCACACTCGTGGGAAGGGGTCGCCGACACCCGGCAGATGTCTTCCGCCCCCCCGCCCTCCTCCTCGGTCCGGGGCTCCTCGCCTTTCTCGGGATCTCAAAAGCCCTACAGAAGAACCCGAGGGAACCCCATCTCTTCCGCCACACCATTGTTTCCACCCTTGTAAGGAACTATGTGAAGCATCAGCCACTTGTGGAAAGTTTGTGAATTTTAAGTGCTAGATTACAACATAAACTCTTTCCTGTCTACATAGGACAGATGCTCATGTCAGCATGATTCTGATTTTCCTAGCAACGGGGTAGATCGATTCATCAGGTCAAGCGATGAAAGAGGAATAAAAACGACCCATTACTCCCACTGACACTCTTCCTCCGTCTATATTTGCATTGATTAAATCCACATGAAGCAAATCAAATTAACATGCACCTTCTTGTAAGTGGAGCATAGACACTACTCTTCTTTTTTTTATTGTACCAATTTATTTCTTTCCACAGCCACGCAGAAATGCCCTGCAATAGCAGAGCTTGCAGACTGCCTAGAACACATTTTCTGAACATAGGAAATAGATGAGAAATGCATTTAATGAATAATACCTTGGGGGTAAAATTGCTACAATAAATGCCTTTTGTACCTGATTAAGTGTCAAAGGTTTGACCTTTGAAAGTTATTTTGCATAGCAGGTGGCACTGCTATGCACAATCCTCCACAGCCTTTCTCTCCTGTAGCTTCAGAAAAACATTCGGCTTTCAGAGCCATTCCATGCTGTGGTTACTTTCTTTGTAATACAAGTTCTATACCGCAGCAGTTGTGTCTGTAAGTACCGGAAGATTTTTCTCTGATTAAATAATTCTTGAGGGAGAAATTGCTTCCTGGAAACCAGAGCCTTAGCACAGAGATGAGGTTCCTAAGGAGCATCTGCCCTGCTTGTTGTTTGAACTCTTCTGTGCAAGCACTGATGTAAACAGACCAGATTATGCTCAGTTCTAAGTGCACTTCACATCCCTGCCCAGCCTCCCACTAATGATCATCATAAGGACAATGCAAACATCTCAACAAGGCTGATGGTCGGTGGAAGACAGAATTTCTATTATACAGAACGTTTTTAATGCTACAAGCAACTCCTCTCTCCAGAGGACAAATGAAGGCATGTGTCTAAGTGCCCACTTTGTGAAGCACCATTCACTGCAGCAGCACTGGGATATTGCTGTTTCTGCTGCACCTCAGGATGAGACTGATCAGTGGGATTTACCTTCATGGGAGACTCCACAGGGAGCACTGACTGTGTTTGGTGAGTTATTTTTATAGAGGTGCCTGAATGAAAAGGGCAGAACTTGAAGAGCTCAAGTATGAGTTGCACTGGAAATCAGCACATGCACCCAACAGCTCTACTGCTCCTCTTATCTCATATCTGTATGTACCTCGAGATATGTGGAGTCACCCACAGTGTTGCCCTGTGGGACAAAAGCATAACTCCAGCAGGCTGATATGCTCCTGTATAGTTTCAAATGTTTAATTCTTGCAAGGGAAAACCTATTTATCAAAAGAATTACGACAGCTCTGTCTGGAGTTTGGAAATCCCACGGAGCTGCCTAGTGTTCGTGAGCGGCGCAGCTCCCGCAGGCTCCACGATCCTGGCAAGCAGAGCAGGGAGCAGGGACAGCCCGGCAGTGTGTGTGCAGTGACACAGGGTTATTCCAGCTCGGCTGTGCATTATAACAGGGCTTATTCCAGCTCGGTGTGCCTGTGCATTGAAATGAACCACGTATATTAAACGTGGTTAGTGCAAGGAGCAGGGATAGCTGAGCTCTGCTGCCGGGCTGCTGAGGGTCTGCAATAATAATATGTGTGTGTCTGACTTACACATCTACATGGAGAGCAGCAATTCTGACTCCATGCCTATTGGGAAGAGCAATGCAGGTTTGTTTGTTTTTTTTTTTCTCGTTTCTAACAAATCTGAATCACTGTGGTGCACTAGGACATGGAAGGAGGTGTGTTCCCTAGCATACACTCCTTTGAAAAACAAAATCAAAGTGATTGGTCCTCACTGCATCTCTCTTTTCTGCTGCATTTTTAAAGCCTGATTAAACCCCTGATATGTGACAAAGGAGTCTGAGATGGCTGGCCCCTTTCATGGATGTGGCTCCCCATGTGTTGCCAGAGCAAGTAACACTGCACTGAATGTCCATCAGTTGGCTTTTGCAAAGCCCACTGCAGCATCTGGACTCTTACCTCATGACTGCTTCACAGATGTCAGTATCTCCATTCTCATGTCACCTGGATCAACTGGTTCACAAAACCAACAAAAAAAAATTAGGAAGAGGTAGATTTTTTTATATTCATCTTCTCTTGTGGTGACCCAAGTCCTTTAATTTCACGCTATGTCCCCACCTGATTTAATGGAACAGTCAGGTTCTCTGTGAGGGAGGGAGAAGGAAACAGGAGACATGTAAATCTGTTCCACTGCTTATCTGACTCTATTCACTCTTGTAAAATGGTGCTGAAATACGTGGACTCAAAGACAGGGTGGCAGGGAAGGAATGCAGGGAAGGAACACAGGTCTCTTTTGCTGGCCTAAATATCCTAATTCAACATTTGATGGAGAAAAAGGAAAATTTATTCTGAGTCATATGCAGAAGCAACCAGTATTGGAAGGAGGAAAAAAAAAAAAGGGGGGGGTTACAAAAAAAAAGTCATATTCTGAAAAATGTGCTTTCTAAGGTGCTTTAAAAATGTGCTTTAAAATTTCCATCTGAAGTTACCAGGGTAAAGCAGGGCTGGCAGCCATCTTTCCTTGATGGGAAAAGCGAGTTTTGTAAATGAAACGCCAGCACCGAGCGAGACCCAAATGCATCAGTATAACAGGAACAGGGAAGCAGCGAGGCACAGTGTGATATTCTGAGCCACTTGAAGGATGAGTCATCGGCAGGGTGGGCTCGCACAGCTCCAGCCAGAAACACAGCAGCAACACACCCACTTTCATCCTGGCTCCAGGGAAAAGCCGCTCGGCCCCAGCACGGCCACCTTGACAGCGAAGGATAAGACCCCGGTGGACCAAATGTCAGAAAGGCTTTTGCCTATACTTATCAATTGGAAACATACCTTAACAGCAGCTATCTCCTAAATCCATGTTCTAGCACGTAATTAATGCAGTAAAGCCCGTTCATGATTAGCCCTAAACTGGATTGTGTTTGGGATTGCTTCTGGAACTTATTGCTCTGAACTGGCAAATTCTGTCTCCTCCTGCTGAGCTTGGGTATCAGCAGGTGGGAGCACACAGGCCTGTGAGAGCATTTGCAGGCAGCTGGAATATTTTCCAGAGCCCCTGTGTGCAAGGACAGAGGCTGCCATCTACCAACAGCCACGGGGTGATGCATCGTCTGGCCTAAGCCAAACTTCTTGCTTTGGTTTAGATCAAAACGTTTATACCTCTGTTGATTTTTCCCATTTCCCAGCCTCTTTTCAGCTATTTCATCGAGGTAGAGGACAAATGATTGTTACAGCACTTGAGCACATGGAATAACATAACCTCCTAGAAGATGAGCAGATTTTATTCTTAAGTAAGCAGATATATGTATCCCATACTCTGCACAGAATTTGCCACTCAGTGATCCCCAGCAGCAGCTCTGATTTGGGATTTGCTTATCCCTTTTATCAAGTGTAGAGAGAAACAGCTACTTTCCCCCTAAAATTTTGCTGTGTGTACGATGATCTTTCAAAGAGCTCTTTAAAATCTAACACAAAACAATAATGTAAACAATACACAAGCATTATCTGTATTTTTTATCAACCGATCTTGTAGTTTTTCACCAGAAAGACATAGCTAACTATTCTCAGATAGGAAAAGAGAGGCAGAAAATGGGAGCAGGCAGGTAAGTATCCTAACCAAAAGAACGTTCAGATCTCTCATTATCTATTCAAGTGCCTTATGGACTACTCTGCACCTTGTATACCAACTTCTCCTTAAAGTCTGCTGAAATCCCTGGAGAGTTTTTCACCAACTTCACATGTCAATTTGAATCAGACTTAAAGACAGCAAAGGAGACAACCAACAAGATTTGGGAAAAGATGTGCATATGGTATCACTCGGTAGATAGATTTTGAACTGGTCTAGCAGCTGCTCGAGCCTGTGCCAGAGCCAGAGCCGAGGAAAAAGGAACAATTTTATCAGGTGCACTTTGGCAGTGACAAGGTCCATCTTCAGATTGCAGGGATGCTCATTTTGCAAAAGCAAAATGGAAAATACCCCCCATTAAATGGTAGTAGTTCAAGCTTTTGCACAGAACTCTGAGAAGCTGAATTACACTGCCTCCATGACAAAGCATGAGCAATATTTCCCCACCTGCAAGCCAAGAGTTTAAACAAAGAGTTTTAAACAAATACAACTTTCCGGGGATGGGGGAAGGGCATTGGTTTAGAATACATCAACTTAGAAGTTTTGTGAATAATCATCTGTGGATGAGACAGCCATCCTCAGGAAATCTGAGCAACAGCCCTTTTCTGGCTGCCACAATGCAGCTCCACACCTGAGGGAAAGGAACCCAGCCACTCCTGGGCACACCGTTTGCTGCCCATCCCCAGGGCACTCCTCTGGGCAAGCACATCTCTGTGCCAGGTTTCAGACACGAACGCAGTCGTGCCATCCTGCACTGCTCTGGAAAGAAGCAGCTCAGCTAATGGCTGATGGGTTTGTTGCTCTCCACCTACAGCCACTGACGGGTTTGCTGCTCTCCACCTACAGCCACTGCTCCACAGGTGTCCCAGGCTCAGCTTCGCTGCTCACTGCTCTGCTTGCAGCCCTCAGGAGCAGCACAAAGACCTCCCACACCTCTACCCTGGTCACAATCTCCACAATCGCTCCTTCCCTCGCCTAATCCAAGGCTGCAGACTAGGGCACAGTTCACCCACACTCTACCTGACATACTTTCTAACGTGCAAATTGTTTATTCCCTTCCACTTTCAGTTTTGAGTAGATAACATTATTCTGGCTGCTCTGCTAGGAATTACTTTCTTTTTGAGAAGATTTTCAGAGCCACATTTCCAACTGTCATTGGCTACATTTGCATTAATAAATTCAAGGTGCCACTGACTGAAATTTGCCATGATGTTAAGTGCCCAGAAAGGTCTCAGCACACTTTTGGACAACACCGGCTAATACTGACCTAAACAATTCCTAGGCATAGCAGGGAATTAGTATCAGCTAATTATCAACCCTAACAGGCAGGTTGAACACAATCCTCCCTCTTTTGAAGGCTCAGAGGTTCACTATTACGGAGGTGACTGGACCATCCAGATAGATCAGTACCAGGAATAAGTTCAGAAGCAGATTTAGCATCCATTGAGTTCATCTCAGGGGTAGATGACATTTCTCTGGCTGCCTTTGGCTTTGCCCCCCAGTGCTGATGGCTAAGCTTATCCTGCTGGAAGAGCCAGTCTTTTCTGTAGTCCACAAGGTCCACCCTTTCTAAAAAGTTGTGGATATTAATAAATACATGAAAGTAGAAGTTACTAAAACCCAGAAGGGAAACTGGGTTCAGCTTGGTTTAATTGTTTAGATGAAGGAACACAAAGAAGGAAGCTAGGAGCTGTGAAGATGGTGAAGGGCCTTGAGGGGATGCTGCATGAGGAGCGGCTGAGTGCACCTGGTCTGTTCAGCCTGGAGAAGAGGAGACTGAGGGGACAACACATTGCAGTCTACAACTTTGTGAGAGGAAGAGGAGGGCAGACACTGATCTCTGCTCTGTGGTGATCAGTGACAGGAGGGAACAGCCTGAAATTGAGTCAGGAGAGGTTTAGGTTGTGTATTAGAAAAACCACCAGGTTTTCGAAACAACAGAGGATGATTGGGAGGTGGAACAAGAACCACAGGGAAGTGGGCACAGCACCAAGCCTGAGAGAATTCAAGAAGTGTTTAGCCAAAGCTCTCAAGCACATGGTGTGACTCCTGTGGTGTCCTGTGCAGGGTCAGGAGATGGAATTGGATGACCTTTGTGTATTCCTTCCAATTGAGAATATTGTATGATTCTGTGACTATAATCCAAGTGAGTTCAACAAAGTCAGAGCCAGTTGTAAGCATGTATTTGGAAGGTTTCTGAGCACCGGCCGGGCTGCATCAGCACACACCAACACCACTCACCCCGGCGAGGCCGGGCACAGCGCCGGGCACACGGCACTGCTGAGGTGAGTGTTGTGCACAGCTCTGGAAGGACATTGGGGCGCTGGAG